GTGTGTGTGTGTGTGTGTGTGTGTGTGTGTGTGTGTGTGTGTGTGTGTGTGTGTGTGTGTGTGTGTGTGTGTGTGTGGGGGGGGGGGTCTTCCACAGGAGGCGTTGTGAGTTACAGGCGACAGCTTAAACAAACGACTAGTCAGCAGCACAATGCATTAAAACAGCTGACAACACAGGCTGCATCACCAGAGCTCTGTTCCGTGTGCTGCCGGCTCAATGGGAGGCTGATTGACTGGCTGCTCACAGGTTGACTGACACACACACACACACACACACACGTACAATAACTGGCATTACGTTTGTTGCGGTGCAACAGAGCTTGTTGCCCTTTCGTTTTTGCTCAGGAGTGGAATTTTCTTCTTCTCTCTGACTGACTGTTCCATAAACAAGATCGCTATCTCCTAAACTCGGTGACATCTGAGGCGGAGTGCGGGTGTTTATTGTTTTTGTAGCTGTAGTCCAGAAACGACTCACGCAGCTCACATCTGTGTGTGTGCGCGCATGTCCAGTTGTCATATCCTTCTGATGGAGCTTTTACAAACTCACAACGTGTAAATAGCTGGACGAAGCATTACTACATGACTGTTCGATGCATCTCTTCAGGCACAAACCTTGTAGTGGGCGAGGTTCGTTTAGCCCGCGGGGAGCCGCTCACACTCATTTAAAAAGGAGCAATACGTCCCCGAGAGGTTCGGGGCTGAAGGCGTGGAGACACTGGCTTTGTTTTTAGGAATCCCTTCCAACTGGCTGCAGGATGTTGCCGTTGTCGTCAGCTATTTAACGATTGAACAGCCCCCTCTTCTGGCACATTTGGAACAACGCAGGATCTGTTGTAACTCGGTACGACAGCTCTGCCATGACTTCTGCCTGAAGCATGTTTTTCATTTCCGTGTGTAAATACAATTCTTACAGTTATGGGTGACGTTGCACTAGAAATGATTCTAGCGATTTACTATAACAGTCTATAACACAGTCACAATGTTGGCTGTTTGATTAAATTGCTGAGCTATCATTTTGTTATGTTAATTTAATATTATTCTCTCTTTTGTACAAATGCATGTGAAAAAACAAAAACACTATCGGTACCTTTTCCTAAAAAGAATAACGACTACTTGCTATGATAGAAGAGTTTCGGAAAGAAACTCGGGGAACTAAAATTTAGCTGCACGCTCCTCCAGTCGAGCCCACTGTGCGATTCCTCATCGAGCGTTTGAATACTTCCTGTGTGTGAGATACGTGCAGGTGCTTCCGTCAGTCTCACCTCCTCGATCATGCTGTCCATGGCCTCGGACAGTTCAGCTTTGGTGGCGTCGCTGGCCACCATGTTCCTCAGTCTGAGGCAGTATTCTCTCAGCTGTAACACACGGCGAGACAGACACGTCAGCGCTGGGGGGGGGGTGTGGGGGGCGGAGGAGGGGGAGCCAAAGGAAAAGGTGTCTGCACACCTTATGATTGAGGATGTCATTCATTCTGCGCGAGGCCTCCGAGCTGTGGGACTCTGGAAAGCACTTCTTTGGAATCACGCCGTACTTCTCTGAAGAAAAGGACACGACAAACAAAACAAAATGTTCTCGTCATCCGGCCCAATGAGAGCGGCTCAATGACGCCTGTCTGGAGACGAACCGATGAGGTTGACCAGCATGTCCCACTGTCCTCCGTCGTTGGTGGGATTGGAGAGCAGGAACTGGACCAGGCGCCCGTCCACCGGCTCCTTCCTCTGTGCCGTCTCCAGACAGGCCTGGAGGAAGTAGTAGCAGCGCTCGACCTGTGGGAAGAAGAAACGAGAGCTTCCAGTGTCGTGTTTTTACCAGCGGAACAAAAGATATGAAACCGTTCCAACTGATCTTAGTGCCAGACATCACAATGACAATTTGCAGTCGTGCTACAGTGAATCCTTAAAAGGAATGTGATAAATGACGTGTGGCTCCACATCTTACCTTGTCCCAGAAGAAAAGATAGGACTGACTGAACTCAAACTCCTCTATGTTAAATTTCTTCATAAAGGGAAGTCGCATGACGTTGAGGCACGAGAAGATCCAACATCTCCCTGCGAATGTGGAGAAGACAAAGAAAGGCAGAAATAAGTCACGAGTGTCCTGAGTTTGTTCAGGTATCGTCGGCTCACACTTTATGTGGTCAACCGTGTAATGGATTCCTTCCCTGAACCACAGGGCTTTGCCTGAAAGATACTCCATTGAATGGCTTAATGGTAATTGCATAACTACTATGCAGTCATTTTGTGGGCGCTAACAACGGATATAATGCCTGTAGAAACCACAGATCAATAGTCATAAGCTAACAGCACATCATTTGTTGAATAGTGCAGCAGCCTGCTAAAGATATGCTCATGTCTCAGTGCGATCCTTGTAGCAAAACAAGACTTCAGCCAGCGGGTTTATGAGGGACCCTTAGACGCTAATGCAATCAAGAAAACAACTGCACTATTTATGAAGTATTTACGCAAAGTACAGTGCAAACACTTCTACAAAATAACTATTCACTACATCGATAAGACAGAGCGTGCATTTCCATCCTTTGTGATGGATAATTGCAGTGAAAGAGTATTTTTAAATTCTAAAAGGCAGAAATATATTCATTGACCAACGTCTGTGTCCGATGACCGAACAGCTAAAGCCACATGCAGAGGCTTTTCCTCCTCTCGTAAATGGTGCACTTGTGACTGTTGCCATTGGACAATAGGTCCTACCTGAGTTTTTCTGGTTGGTGACGGGTTTGCCCTCTGTGGGGATAGAGTGCTGGAAGATGTGCACGGTGTCCTGGACAGTCTGCCGGTGCAGACAAACCTCCAACGGGTCGATACAGGTGGACACGTTCTGGGCCAACAGGTAGCGTGGCTCGGCTCGCAGCCTCTTGAGGAAGGAGGACACCTTCTCCTGACTCAGACCTGATGAAGACAGAAGGGAAAAAAAAGAAGGTACAAATAATGAGGGCAGGAAGACGAGCAGAAATAGAACTCAAACCAGGAAGACAGTGGCAGCCGGACACGAGGAGGAATTTGCTGCTGTCCTCATCTGTGCACTTTAGGCGGACGCACTTCCTTCCTAACATCTGATTTATGAGCACTCACCTTCTCAGATGTCCGAATAATGGCTGGAAACACACTAGATCAATAGTCATATAAACTAACAGCACGGCATTTATTGAATATTGCAACTGTCTTCTGCATGACTCTCTCTCCCCACCGTCCTCATCCATGTAGATAATAGTCTATTAGGGATATTGAACACAATCATGGTCAGAGCTGATGATGAAGAATGAAGGCCAGACTAAATGGGGAGGTAATCACAGATGCTTTCTAGTAGCGTCCCTATAGGGCGGATCACAGGTCGATGGTACCACCTCATCCGGCTCCACCTGGGAGACAAACACACCGGGAAGCGCCTCCAGGTGACCGGCCACTAATGTGCGCGCCGTAATTCCGTCACACAACAGTGCAGAGCAATTAAACACAGACGGGGAGATTGCCAAGTCATGCACGCTGCCTGGAGTTTGACCCCTCTCCCCCCTCTCTGCTGCACTCTGTTATTCCCCCGTCGACGCGAACCGCCCCAGATTACCACGGTGTCAAACTCCATTAAACGTCACGGCCGTATCAGTCGGAGAGAGTAAGCACAACCGGGCCTCAGGCGGGGAATATTTGGAGCGCAGGCCTGCATGGGGTCCTGTGTCAACATGGCAATGTTTTTCTTGTGGAGCAACAGCTGAATGTTTCTGACAGTCATGAGCAGAGAGAGAGAGAGAAGCGAGGGGACACGATGAGACAAATCAGTAACAGAGCCAAGAGTTACAGGTGTGTGTGTGTGTGTAAGAATATTTCAATAAGCTTCAGGAGTGAGTGAGTAATCCAACCGCTGGAGGCCTGAATGCATCACGGTGGCTTTTAGAAGTGCATGTATGATTAAAAGGTGAAGCTGGGTAGGAAGTTGCTGACAAAATCAAACAATCGGACTGTTGTGTCACTAATAAAAAAAAAACCCAGCTGTTTTCATTCACACTTCCGGGACAATTCATAAGTAACGTCAGATAACAAATCCGTCTTTCGAATACCGATGTGAAGAAACACAAACCCTTTGACCAACAGTTGAGTGATGAAACGAGAACTGAGGTTACGGGACTTGAGCTCGAAACCGATCCGACCCTCGTTACACGACATGTTGCGAGCGGGGGGGGGGCAATGCGGGAGAAACTATACGACTGTATAAAGAATCACCCCCAAAGAAAAAAAACAACTTAGAGGGAATTGTTATCGTTAAAAAAAAATCACTTTTATTGACAGCTTCTGGCTTTTCCGATTCCATCCTCGAATGGCTAGCTACACGCAGCTAGCACGCCCTGCTCCTCGAGCTGCCCCCCCTCCGGCTGTAATAACCCCCCCGCGGGGTGCCGGCGTGTGCACGGTGCGAGTCTCCGGCTCCGACCGCGGACACCGCGCGCGAGCAACCCAACACGAGCGGCAAAACGACGGCTAAAGCCACGCTAGCGGGCGGGCGGGCGTGCTAACGAATGCTAACGTAGCCTGTTAGCTCGCTCAGCTGTCATCTTTCTCCGGGCTCGCTGTCAACGGCGCGGCGAGCTCAGCCTCCGGGCACCGGACCGGGAGGAAGAAGCACTCGACGTACCGGTTTCCATGTTTCCCGCGGAGGTTGGGGAGCGTTGTCTGTTTTCCTGGAAAGTCACCGGCTTCTTTGTTTATCTCGTTCACCGACGGACAGCCAGTGTGATCACAGGGTGCGCTCGTTTGTGCGCGGCTCGGCGCACACGCGGGGCCGGCGGTGTCTTCGACGTGGCGGCTGGGCGGGGTTTACGCGACGGAGCGACATGCTGCACCGCGACAGATGACAATTTAATTTGGTGAATATCGGGATTCAAGGGGGTTGGAGACATTTAGCGTACACTTTTAATGCAGAATTTCGCAAAAAGCATGGAACACTGGGAAAAGGAAAACAAAGCATTACATACAGTTTATATTTTAAATCCCGAGAATCATTTTTTGGTTTTCAGCATAGTCAAAGACATTCATCATAATGTAAAGCACCTTGCTCCAACCCCATGACCCATTTCAGTAGCAATTAAATATAAAGTTTTTTTAATTATTAAGCCTCCTCAAATATATTTTTCCTAATGAATTATGGCCGAAACTGAACTAATGATATCTTATCATCAAATTGATGCTTTGTATCATAAAAACAACTTTCGTGCTGTTATACATGAGCTTTATTTTATTCATCAAGAAGGCACAGATGTTCTTCTTGGTTGTGGCCTTTAATACACGTTCATTCCAACGTGTCACGTGAGCGGTAGGGCACAGAGGAATTTTAAACAAGCATCCCCAAAGTCAGACGTGATATAACAATTACGTATTACACGTCCGGTTGTTTACAAAATAAAATAACACTGAGTTCCGTCTGCATTAAGCACTTGAGGGGTGTTCTCTTAATAACGTGTACAAATGCGAGGAATAATGAAAACACCCAAAACCTGTTGAAAAACAGGTCATTTAAAATGGTTCGTTTGTCTTTGAAAGTGATAAACAACTTTCATTTTGAAAGTTTAACTCGCTGCTGTTTTGAATAGTCCTGTCGAGGCCATGACGTGTTGATGATTTAACATGCAGCTGCTGTTGCATTTAAACCAACACACAAAGGAAAAATTCGCACATGAATCATATGGGGAAAAATATCATTTAATTTAAAAGACAAGTTTAACTTGAAGTGCCGTCATCAGGGTGGCTCTACACGATCAATCCCTCTGATAAGCCTTTTTTTAAAGTGCATTTACAAAAGAAATGGTTTAGTTATGATAATGCTCAGTTTTCTTTTGCAAAATTGCTTTACCTCGTGGCCCCTTTCCTGATGAAAGTGGTACACTGCCAATCATAAGGTCATTGATTTCCTCTATTTTTGCATGAGCCTGTGTGTGTGGGGGCTTGTGTCTGTGTTTGTGTGTGCGTGGAAGGTGGAAGTTGTTCCGTGCGTCACTCCCTTCCTTCACTTGTCTCTGTAACAAAGCAGGAGCCGCAGCCCAACGGAAAGACTCTCACATCACTGGGCAGGAAAAGAGAAACAGGGACGAGCAGTTTTCTCATCCAACGCATGCATACTAAGACGAAACAGCCTCGGGAAACAAGCAACGACTCGATCTGTTCAGAGGAGGTAAAACCGGCTTGTGATGTCAGACACGTGTTCCCGTCTCCTCGGAGCCATCGGCTGCCTCTGCCTTCTTCATCCCGGTTAGTGCACGTCTCATTCACATTCTCATAATCAAATCAAAATTCTGAACATCATGATGCATTTATGGACGGCACGGTGGTGTGGTGGTTAGCACTAACTAGCACTCTTAGTTGGTGGTTCTGATCAGAAAACAGTTGCACCAAAATTAGACAATTGAGACATCTTTTGTGTGTTGGATGAAATACACGTTTTAATAGTCAAATCAACATCCATTAACCTTTAATTGTGGACAAAAGGGTGTGAAGAGACACACACATTCATACAGCGACACTAAAAAAAAGAATTTCGATAAAGAGAAACTGACTAAAACTATCTTAGTTAACTGGTGGTTCTGATCAGAAAACAGTTGCACCAAAATGAAACAATTGAGACACCTTTTGTGTGTTATTTTTCATTTGGATAAGTGCATAATTATCTTGCTTCATTTTAAATGGATCATCAAAACTCTTCACCTCAAAGCAGCGACAGTCTCTTTTTGCACCATAAAGGAGCCATATATACTTCCATTTTCTTCCGGCAGGTCTCTGGGCAGAAGAATGCACCCAGGGTGTTCTGGCAGAACGCGAGACCGTCTTCGTCCCAGCGGGAAACAGTCTGTCTCTGTCCTGTGTGGTCCAGCACTGTGGGGGCACCTGGACGGGAAACTGGACGAAGAGGGATTCAATGGCCGACAACTTAACCGCGAGGCATCATCTGACCAATGTGTCGCTCTCTGACACTCAAACTCGGCTGAATTTCCTGAGTGTCGGCGTGCAGCGTTAAATGGGCTCGAGGTGACACGGAGGAAGGAAACACGAAGTATGTTAACGTTACTGCAGGTAGCTACATCGTCTAGATACTTACGACCATTCTTGTACAACACGATACTTATTTGGAAAGATGAAATTGCCTTATTTCCTCCTCCAGCCGTCCCTTCTACGAGGAGCGCCCTGCACAGGGTTTTGGTCTGTGCCGGCGTTTGTCTTTGTCTTCCCATCATCCTGTGTTTGGTTCATGGTCTGAGTTCAGAGGTCAAGCCCCAGCCACTTCCCAGGACTCTTTCCATTTACAGAGAGCAACAGCAGCCGGCTCCACGGCCCCCACCTCGATGCCCCGTACCTCAGAAGCCTAGCACTCGCTCTGACAAAGGTTTCTCACTTTTTGCCTGTAACAGTGATACCAAAGGTACCATAGCATTTGTCAAAACTGCTGTATTTACTGTCTTTTCTTATTTTGCATGTCACAGCCGTCCCCGAGTCCATCCAGAAGAAGGAGGTGGGTGAACAACCCGTTTCAAAAAAAGTGCTCCTTGTTTGCTTCGCCTTTCAGGATGTTTCTGCAACTTTCAATGTTGCAGGTGGTGTATGGGAACATTTCCCAGCATGCACTGGGTCAACCGGGAGCGTCCGGAGAGCCCGAACCGACCGCCGCCTACTCCTTCCTAGTCTCCTGACCATTTGAAGCAGGGAGATTGTGCTTGATTCTGAACTCCCGTGGGAGATGTCGACTTTTGGAATCTCTCGGAGTTCTTCACATGCGGGACTGCCTCTCTGAGACATTCTGATGAATTTGTCCCTATCAGGTGATGGTTACTTGCACAATGTGGAAAGTGAATAAAGAAGAGGACAAATTGAGATCAAATTTTGTCTCGCCGTGTCTGTGGACTGTGTTCAGGACTGTTTGTTGAGGGGAGGCGGCATAATAGACAGCAGTTGATGATTAGATACTGCGGCATGCACAGAGAGGAAAGATTCCTCTATATGGCATAATGTCACTGATATGAACACTTTATAGTCTCCATCGAGGTGTCCATGTGCATAACATTTTAAAGTTACCAGATCCACAAGCAGATCCACAAGCTCATAACCCATTTCAGGAGCAATTAAAACTAATGTTTTTTGACTAATTTTTAAGCCTCCACAAATATATTTTTCCTAACAAATTATTAAAAAACACTTTCCTGCTGTTATACATAAGCTAGCTTTTTTTTTCGGTCGCGCAAAAGCTAACCTGTTACTTTGAGTGCGCAGTGATACAGAACGCTCGGGTCAATGTGAACAGCAACTGTACATTATCGCTCAATAATGTAACCCTTGTGATTCACTCTCAACCAATCAGAACACTTGATTTCATCTACCCGTATTATAATCATCAACAAGGCACAGATGTTCTTAATTCCTTGGCTATGCTCTTTAATAGTGTTATGTATCTGTTTTCCCAATTATCTGAAGGAGGCAAGAGTTAACCCACTTCTGAAGAAACCCACCCTCAACCCATCTGAAGAACACAACTATCTCCACCGTAACAACCACCATGACTCCCACCAGCCAGGCTTCAAGGGAGGCCATTCGACAGAGACTGCTCTCCTTGCTGTCTCAGAGCAACTCCACACTGCTAGAGCTGCCTCTCTCTCCTACGTCCTCATCCTTCTGGACCTCTCCGCTGCATTTGACACAGTCAACCACCAGATCCTTATTTCCTCCCTTCAGGAACTTGGTGTCTCAGGCTCTGCTCTCTCCCTTCTCTCGTCCTACCTCGACGGCCGCACCTACCGGGTAACCTGGAGAGGATCTGTGTCGGAACTTTGTCCTCCTACTACTGGAGTTCCTCAGGGTTCCGTCCTGGGTCCCCTCCTCTTCTCGCTCTACACAAACTCTCTCGGAGCTGTCATTCGCTCGCATGGCTTCTCCTACCACAGCTATGCCGATGACACTCAACTAATTCTCTCCTTCCCTCCCTCGGACACCCAGGTGGCGGCACGGATCTCTGCCTGTCTGACTGACATCTCTCAGTGGATGTCCACTCACCATCTGAAAATCAACCCCGACAAGACTGAAGTACTTATCTTTCCGAGTAAAGATTCTCTGACCCACGACTTGACGGTCAACTTTGGCAACTCCATGCTAACGCCCACTTTGACCGCTAGGAACCTCGGCGTGACACTCGGCAGCCAACTCTCCCTGACTCCCAACATTACTGCGACAACGCGATCCTGTAGATACACGCTCTACAACATCAGGAGAATACGTCCCCTTCTCACTAAGAAGGCAGCGCAGGTACTGATTTTGGCTCTTGTCATCTCACGCCTGGACTACTGCAACTCTCTCCTGCAGGTCTCCCTGCTACCGCCATTCCACCTCTGCAGCTCATCCAGAATGCAGCAGCTCGACTGGTCTTTAACCTTCCTAAATTCTCCTCCACTCTCTTCACTGGTTACCGGTGGCTGCCCCCATGGATCGGGTCCAGCTTACATCCAGGACATGGTCAAACTCTACATCCTGACCCGCACTCTCCGCTCTGCATCTGCTAAACAGCTCGTTCCTCTCTCACTGAGAGCAAAACACTCGACTAGATCTCGACTCTTTGCTGTCCTTGCTCCTAAAGGGTGGAACGAGCTCTCTGAAGACATCAGGACCGCAGAGAGCCTTCACATCTTCCGCCGCAACCTAAAGACACACCTCTTCAGACTCTACCTCGACTAAAGACTAACAAATTGTAGCACTTAAATTGTACTTGTAACGTCACTTATCTATAGCAAATTGTAAATTGGCTTATTTGATGAAATTGCACTTTCTTGTTTCTTGTCCTTCTGAGTTTGTACCCTTGTGGTTGAATGCACTTAATGTAAGTCACTTGTAAGTTAAATGACATGTAATACACGTTAATTTTAACGTGTCACGTGAGCGGTAGGGCACAGATCAATTTTAAACGAGCATCCCCAAAGCCAGACGTGACATAATAATTACTATTTACACGTCCAGTTATTGTTTACGAAATAAAATAACACTGAGTTCCGTCTGCGTCCCCTCACCTGAGGGGTGTTGTCTTAATAACGTGTACAAATGCGAGGAATAATTAAAACACCCAATACCTGTTGAAAAAAATGTAATTTAAAATGTTTCCTTTGTCATTGAAAGTGATAAACAACTTTCATTTTGAAAGTTAAACTCGCTGCTGAAAACAGTTTTGTGTTTTATTGCTGGGAAGGTAAACGGTTAAGTGAAACCGTTGAACAGTCCTGATGTGCCGTCATCAGGGTGGCCCTACACAAACTTGTGCTTGTATGTGTGTGTCTGCGCGTGTGTGTGCGCGTGGAGGGTGGAAGTCGTTCCGTGCGTCACTCCCTTCCTTCACATGTGGAACAAAGCAGGAGAAGCAGCATAAAGGAAATACTCTCACATTACTGAGCGGGAGAAGAAATCGAGGGAAACAGGGAACCGATGGCAACAATTTGAACGAGCGGTTTTCTTATCCAACGCATGCATACAAGTTGCGGCTTGTCCTCTGTTCAGAGGAGGTCAAACCGGCTTGCGATGAGGTTCTGACTGACTCTGCCACAGTCGGATATGTCAGACACGTGTTCCCGTCTCCTCAGAGCCATCGGCTGCCTCTGCCTTCTTCATCCCGGTCAGTACCACGTCTCATTCACATTCTCATTTACAAAATTTGGAACATCATGATGCATTTATGGGCGGCACGGTGGTGTGGTGGTTAGCACTAACTAGCACTCTTAGTTATCTGGTGGGCCTGTGAAGAGCAAGAGAGCCGGATCATCACGCTAGTCGCACGTTCACAACACACACAGGATGAAATACACGTTTTAATAGTCAAATCAACATCCATTAACCTTTAATTGTGGACAAAAGGGTGTGAAGAGACACACACATTCATAGTGCGACACTAAAAAAAAGAATTTTGATAAAAAGAAACTGACTAAAACTCTTTTAGTTATCTGGTGGTTCTGATCAGAAAACAGTTGCACCAAAATGAGACAATTGAGACACCTTTTGTGTGTTATTTTTCATTTGGATAAGTGCATAATTATCTTGCTTCATTTTAAATGGATCATCAAAACTCTCCACCTCAAAGCAGCGGCAGTCTCTTTTTGCACCATAAAGGAGCCATATATACTTCCATTTTCTTCCCGCAGGTCTCTGGGCAGAAGAATGCACCCAGGGTGTTTTGGCAGAACGCGAGACCGTCTTCGTCCCAGCGGGAAACAGTCTGTCTCTGTCCTGTGTGGTCCAGCACTGTGGGGGCGCCTGGACGGGAAACTGGACGAGGAGAGATTCAATGGCCGACAACTTAACCGCGAGGCATCATCTGACCAATGTGCCGCTCTCTGACACTCAGACTCGCCTGTCTTTGAATCTCCTGAGTGTCGGCCTCTTAGACCAAGGTGCCTACGGGTGCAGCGTTAAATGGGCTCGAGGTGACACGGAGGAAGGAAACACGAAGTATGTTAACGTTACTGCAGGTAGCTACATCGTCTACATACTTACGACCCTCTCTTTTTACGACCTAACCCTAACCCTAACCCCTAACCCTTCTTGCACAACACGATACTCATCTGGAAAGATAAAATCGCCTTATTTCCTCCTCCAGCCGTCCCTTCTACGAGGAGCGCCCTGCACAGGGTTTTGGTCTGTACCGGCGTTTGTCTTTGTCTTTCCATCATCCTGTGTTTGGTTCGTGGTCTGAGTTCAGAGGTCAAGCCCCAGCCGCTTCCCAGGACTCTTTCCATTAACAGAGAGCAACGGCAGCTGGCTCCACGGCCCCCACCTCGATGCCCCGTACCTCAGAAGCCTAGCACTCGCTCTGACAAAGGTATCTCACTTTTTGCCTGTAACATTGATACCAAAGGTACCGTAGCATTTGTTAAAACTGCTGTATTTACTGTCTTTTCTTATTTTGCATGTCACAGCCGTCCCCGAGTCCACCCAGAAGAAGGAGGTGGGTGAACGTCCCGTTTCAAAACAGAATGCTCTTTGCTTGCTTCGCCTTTCAGCATATATCTGTTTGTGCAACTTTCAACGTTGCAGGTCGTGTATGCCGACATTTCCCAGCATGCACTGGGTCAACCTGGAGCGTCCAGTGAGCCCGGACCGTCCACCGTCTACTCCTCCCTCATGGTCTCCTGACTGCAGTTGAAGGAGGGAGAACGCAGTCTGCTGGGGATACGTTTCGATCGCGTGTTACCGGCCGTGTTTTAGAATGCGTACTCGAAGAACAAGAAGAGTGGGTTGAGCCGCATTTGTGGAAATACCGGAAGGGGCGGGGTCCTGCTCCCGAATTACGCTAATTAGCTTCAATTAAAAAAAAAGAAGAAAAAAGAATGTATTACACAGCATTTCGGTGTTCTCACAAAAGTGCGAGAGTTTAAATCACACTGAAAAAAGTTGATTCATCTGAGTCAATTGTACAAAAGAGCTGGAGTCATTATCCAGTGTCAAGGAATTGGGTTTTTAACACTGATCAGATTCATTTGCGACTATTAGTAGAGTTGAATTAACTTTGATGGGTTTGAAATGTAACCGTACAGCCGTGTCACACTTTAACTCTACGTACTGTGTATTTAACACTGAGCAGGTTTACGCCCTCGGGAGACGTCTGTAGGAGCCATATTGAGGTGTATTTCATGTTTCTTCTTGTGAATAGTGTTGAGTGTTTGTGTGCGTGTGATTGTGTGTGTGTGTGTGTGTGTGTGACGAGTGAGTGAGTTATGTGGCCACAGGTCTGTTCACCCCACGTAGAGGACGGTTGGGAGGCTGAAGTCGGAGCCAAAGGAAAGACTTTAAAGACACGAAGACACAGCAGAGGGTTTGGCCTGAGGGAGAAACCGTCTTTTGACTGTGTGGTGGAGCGACGTGACGTGACAAGCCGTCTCCCGCCATATATGAAACTGCTTTAGCTCAATTGTTTGTTATTTTCACCTCATGTTTTTGGTTTGTAAATTCTTCATTTATTAAGAGCAATAAATGGTCTTTGCACCGAACCGGATCAACTTCTACTCCTCATCTTTACAAACTGCACGCTGACTGTAGCTGATCAGGGAGTAAAAGGACGAACAGAAAAGGCTGCTACAACGTCAGATGTGGACTTCTGGAATGAATAAAAAAAGGTTCTTCACATGCGGGAGACATTCTGATGAATATGTCCCTAGTGGGTGATGGTTACTTGCACATTGTGGAAAGTGATCAAACAAGAGGACAGAGGAAAAAAAGTGATCTGTCAGAGTCAATTTTGTCTCGCCGTGTCTTCAGGACCGTTTGTTGTGTGGAGGCGGAGATATCGCAGCGTGCACAGAGAGGAAAGATTCATAATGTCACTGATATGAACACTTTAGAATCTCCATCAAGGTGTCCGTCTACATAACATTTTAAAGTATGAGCATGTGTATTTTGCTTGACGTGTTAAAAACGAGATACCACATAAATGACACAAAATACAACATTTTATTTTCGAATAAATTCTCAATGGCACGTTACATAACCAAATATACATACACATGTTTAGACATCTTTTAAATTAATATATTTACTTTAATCTTTTTACCTTATTAATCAGTTTACTCTGCAGTTACACTTCTTTACATGACATCAACGCAAAAGAAGTCATCATTTTAATAAATTAAGCATATTAACAGAGGAAAGGCGGCAGGGCATTTAGGCAATAATGTACCTGCTACAAACTAAATGACACCTGGACTTTCCGCTTCTGTGGGATTTCTGCCCCCGCTTCCCTTGCTCGAGGTAATCACCGGCCTACGCTCACTAAGCACAGTTTGTATTAGTCAACGCTGATAACGGCATCTTTGCAAATCGAAGTGTCACCTGAGTCACAGAGAAGGTCTTCACTGTTTTGGGTGAACTGACCTGTCCCTCTGGCATTTCAGTTTGACGTGACAGGACTTCACACGGCGTCTCCATACGGGAGCAGATATACATTCTTCCGAAGACCCACCGGCTTGGCTGTTTGGTCGCCTCGTCGGAAACGCAATCCGAGCGTCTGCAAGCTTCTTTTCTCCGTTAGCGCGCCCCCACTTCGCCCCGCTAGCTGCAGCTCGAGCAGCTTGCAGGCCGATGTTGTGGGATAGTGGAGGACAAGAGTGTAGACCTTTAGTCCTGATGTGCTTGCAAGCAGCTGGCTTTGCAATTGACTTCTAAGAGACTTTGTGACAACAACTAACACAGCATCAGAAAAAGAGGTTCACATTCAAAAGGTTTTTGTTTTTTTTTCTGTGTGGTTTGAAGGTTTGTTTTACACGAAGCATCTTTGTTTTCAAGTCGCTAGACCTTTTTGAAAAGATCCACCGAACACAGACGGATACACCGAGCTAGCAAGCTTCAATGGGGGTTATCAGAAGGTGAAATGTCAGGGCGGCGTCTATTTTTAGCAAATGCCGGGCGTTGATGGGCCACAGACAGCTGTGATGTTACCAGATCCTCGTTGTCCTCCTCGGACAGTGAAGGAGACGGATAGCGAAAGACACCAGGGGGCGAGAAGGGCTTTTGATAGATTGTAAGGCGCAGCTTTGGCTAAAATAAGCTTATGGCAAAATGTGTTGGCAGTGTCTCGTACTGTGGCCCTTCCGAGCTCGTTTTCCACTAACCAAGCACTTGAGTTCAGGGAGACAAAGCCCCCCACCTCCCCCCCCAGGAGTGCAGAAGTGCTGCCGTAGGTATCGACTACGTGTCAGCAATGTCGTGTTAATAGTGCAGTAGACACAATGCAGCAGCTAACAAGGTAACAAAAGCATCCCGGAAATCAAAAGTGCTTGTAGAAGCGTTTTTATATGCAAAGGACAGGCTGAGAACAGGCTGAGACCCCCCCCCCCCCGCCTGCGCCGTCCCCTCCAAAGCGCTGCTACTGTAAAGTCTACATCATGTGTGCTTGTGTGTCTGTTTGCGTCTGCCTGGTTATTTTAGGCAGAAGAGGAGCCGCTGTCAGACGTTACCATTGGAGGGGAAAAGAGGAGCGTCCGGATGTTGGACGAGTCTTAAAGACGTTTATCTCTACCGAGCACTCGGCAGTCAGCTGGATGAGGAGTAACAGCTCGGCCTTCACTCACAGCTTCACCGCCGTGTCAGGACTTTCATGTGACGCGAGCGACGGTCAGCTGTGACGCAGCAACTTTGTAACATTGGCAGAGTATTGTGTTGTAAGTATTGACTATTTTATTCGTCTGGGATTTTTTTTTTTTTTTAAAGAAAGCCGTTGTGGAAGCTGCTTCTCCTCACTGTACACTCACAGTATCGTCAGATAGTTTATAGTGTGCGGTGCGGTTGGTGATCTTATCGGATCATCCGTGGCGTCTGGAAGGGGTTCTACGCTGATTTCGTGGTTGTTGTTGTTCTACTTTTGTTGTTTTTTTGCAGCTCCATCGACCCGCACGGCGCCTGAAGTTGGATGTTTCCTCGATGCTACTCAGACTGAAAGAGTAAAGGCGAACAGAGAACCCAGTTAGAGTTAGAGTTTTGCATCGTTCGATCTGGGTTTATTACCAAACAACAACAAAACCCAGCACTTTGCTTTAAAATACGCTGACCAGACACGGCAACACTTACAGCTGGGGATGAGTGGCTCATTTTGTCGAAGCGGAACTTCAAGTTTGACCTCGGGGACGTCTTACTTTTCAGGTCTGCAGAATGTTGAAGAGGGGAACGAAGCAGACAGGAAGGAGACGCTCATTAGACAATCCGCCACCCCTCAGGGCGTCGTTCTTTACAGAGATGACCAGCTTACCTGTTGGGCTGCGGCACATGATGACGGGGGTGCCCGATACCGGGCTGTCCACACTGAGGGACGGACTGAAGATGGATGAGGACGTTATGGAGGGATGGCTGGCCTGGGGACGGAGAGCACAAACGCATTTAACGTGGAGGAGAGAAACTTAAGAGGTTGACCGAGGGCTTCCCGTCCGCACAGCTCGCCTGGAAGTCGTTCGCGTAATAGGAGGGAAAAACGTTTGCTATGATGCAAAGTCATTCAGTATTAAGGCTTCACAGGGCTTTGTCAATCGGGAATACATTTATTCTCCGTTGTGAAGCTACAGCCACTAGCTTAGCTCAGCATAGCACAACGGCTAAACACGGCAGTGCCGCCGCAGCCTGTGAAGCTCCCTAATAAACACGTTTTGTTCAACTGATCGACGTGAAGCGAGGAGATGGTCTTTCAAGGCAGAGAACGGCATGAATACATGTACTTTTCCCTTTGTGATGAACACATCGGGAACAGCCTTTGTGTGATTCCCCCATGCATGTTCAATGGCGAGAGTGGGAGTATGATTGGACAGGATTTCACGCGTTGAACAAAACAACCCTGACAGGCAGCGTCATGTGATACGCTGAAAGTGAGCGGGGCTGTAATTATTACAATCAATGTGCCGATGTCCAATCCTCTCTGTTAGAGAGCTCTTGGTAATTACAGACCATTTCAAAAGCAACCAGCGACCTCCCGCTCCTTTGGGAGCGCGTCCCCAAAGCGGCTCGCTCCACTTTCATCCACAAACGCTGCACTTCCTCGCCCGACTGTGTTCTGCGAGCGACGCCCCTCACCGTCTCCAGCTCCTCCAGAGGTTCCGTTTCCCCCGTGGTGCTGCTGAAGCTGCTGGTGCTGGACGAGGAGCGAGAGATGTTCGGTCTGCTGCTGCCGCACTCTTTCAGCTTGACGAAGGGCCTTTTGAGGAACACACGTAGAGAAGCTCAACTTCTCTGGAAAAAGACCACGTCTGCCCTTCGCCTCCCTCGGCACATTTCAGAGAAGGGTCGCGGTGATCTCCATCCTCTTACCTCTCTTTGCTGGGGCAGACCTCAGGAGAGCTGGGATTGGATGACGTCTCCGACCTCACCTCCTGGGACAGCGAGCAGAACTCTGCGAGCTTTTGGTCGCTGCAGACAAAAGAGCAAACGCTTCGATGACGACACGTGACGAGACGGTCCTCCCGCACCGCGGACGGCGTGGGCATCCCCCGGTGTGATGAAGAACGATCTGGGTACCGGTACCTGCGGGTGTGTTTGTCCGACGGGGATTCTGTGCTGGAGTGGAGACGAGGGAAGAGGCCCGAGCGCCGCTTCACGGGGCTCTTCAGAGGAGACTTGGCCGACAGCACAGGAGGCTGGAGATCACAAGTTATGGAATTAGGCTCCTTTAGGAATAAAACCCCAGTCTGGATTAAAGAGCATGCGCTTCTTTTGCATTAGCATCATCAATCATGTTCCTGGGCGAGCCCCCCACTCTCCTGCACGCCCTCTTACTCACAGTGAAGGTGCTCTTGGTGCATTCGCTGGAGCTCTGCGGCAGACCTCCTCCGCTCACGCTGGCCGGCACGCCGCCTCCCACCCCGGGGCTCCTGTGGCTCTTGGACCCCACCATGGTCTCCATGGAGTGGCTCCTGACGCGCATGGCTCTCTGGAGGCGGAGGAGGAGGAGGAGTAAACGCATGACACGTTGAAGAGGAAGACCAAGGCCCACAGATGCAGAATAAATGTTTGCTTTATTAGCTCAAACGCAGCATTCATCTTAGTGGAGGACTTAACCTGGGTCGTATATGTTGTTACACAATACAACCACCAGGGAATGCAGTTCTCCAACATTTAAGCCAAATAGGTTGGAGTACAAATGTTCCTCAAATTATTTGTTTATATTATTATTTATTATATTTTAAGACGTTTTTTAGATGTTCTGTCTTTAAAATTCTGCTCTCTACTGAACATAAATTGATCAAATAAAATTTAAAAAAATTTAAAAATTCAACCTGAATAGCTTAATTTCTTTGAAAGCATCAACAGAAACCACAACGTATGTAACAGTGTTTATTGATTATGTGGCGATCCTCTGTTGGATCTACAGCGATGCAGATAGGTAATACACAGTGACTGCCAGGGCAACAATGAGAACAGCGCCGCCCGGGACGGACTGCACAAAGAGCAAAGTAGCCGTCCACAGGGCCTGCGAGGAGCAAGAGAGCCGGATCATCACGTTAGTCGCACGTTCACAACACACACAGGATGAAATACACATTTTAATAGTCAAATCAACATCCATTAACCTTTAATTGTGGACAAAAGGGTGTGAAGAGACACACACATTCACACAGCGACAATAAAATAAAGAATTTTGATAAAGAGAAACTGACTAAAAACATTATTAAATGATTGAGGGCAAACGTTGTCAAGTTCGCACTTAAAGGGGTTACTTCCGCTGCCATGTGTTGACTAACTTGAATATTAAGTACAAAAAGTCAATCAGCTGGAGAATATTTGATCGCCGGCTTGAATAAATTACAATCCCTACTTTTTGACCCAAACAAAACCTAAACTCTCAGTGTGTGTGTGTGTGTCACCGTCCTTATTCCAACATGCTCCTCCTCATAAAGTACATGAGACAGATTAGCTTTAGCCTGAGGTGACGTTAAAGGTCAGGACAAGGCTGCTAGCGGTTCGGGTACATTAGCGGGTATGTAGCGTATTCAATGTAGCCTACGGTCAAAGGCCGTGAAAAATATAGTTGAAGCAAATCTATGCCATTGATGCACACGCAGCCACACACACTTGAAGGTCAAAAGAAAAAGCAGCAGCCAGGAGGCGACTGATGGTTCAGCACCTTATGCCGTCTTGCACGTCGTTGACATTTAGTTGACCTACAAGCCACAAAACCTCCGACTCTTTGGCTGCAATCACCGCGATTAAGGAAACGTCACAGATTCGGAAAAAACATCGCGCGCGGCCACGTGTCCGGGTTCATGTTCACCTTGAAGGACTCAAGCAGACCCCCGTGTCCCCCGTTCTCCATCTTGTCCTCCTCCCCCGGCTGGCTCAGGCCCAGCGTCGCCTGGCTCTGTCTGTGCAGCTCGTCGTGGAGGTTGTCCAGCAGCGCAGCGCGCGTTCGCCCCTGGATTCAATTCACACACAAACACACAGAACTCATGTAGAAAAACACCGGGGTCGGAGCTCAGCTGCGATCGGAGGCATGCGGCGGGGGTTGGAGGCGAAGGCCGGGGGGGTGGAGGGGGGCGGGCGTGTGTCACCTCCAGTTTGGCGAATTTGTCGGATTTGTAGCAGGCATTTTCGGCGTTGATCAGCTTTGTCAGCAGGAAGTCTCTGAACTCGGGCCCCTGAGAGAGAGAGAGAGAGAGAAATTGGGAGGGGTGGAATTACATTGGTGGTCGGCGACAACGAGGAATGGACACTGCTGCAGCACACGGTGCGTGGTCGAGAAGATCGACCTCTTACGGATTTAAATCCTCGTCCGCCTCTCGTTTGGATCACATCCCGATAGCTCGCGGAATCTATCTGACCGCGAACAGTCCAAATATTGAGCTGTCGATTTGCATGCTCGAAAGTGCACCGCTGCTCTTCTTCTCACCTTCCTGAAGACGGCCGGGTTCGGGAGAGGAGGTCCGAAAGCGGGCACGTCCTCCCGTGCTGTAACGGAAACCTGTCGAGGTGAAACACAGGACAGTAGGACGTCATCAGCGTGCACGTCAGGAGCGATTCAAACTGTGAGGACGACACAAGCGTCCGGGGAGACTCGGGAACAGAACGATTGATTCTTTTGGAACTTCAAAGCGATGATGCAGTTATCACGAGAGACCCGTTTGTCCGAGTCATTGGGCAGCGCCGGCCCGGTTTGTACCTTGTATGTTGTGTGCTCCGTGCAGGGGTTCTCAACCTGCACCAGCACGTACGAGTGCAGGAAATTGGAGGCGATCATGTCCGGAACGAACGGCGTGGCGTCTTCCTGGAAGACTGTGGCCACAATGTCATTTCCTATGTGCCTTTTCCTCTGGAGCTAAAGGGGAGAAATCCATTTGAGTTGGTGTCCACCAGGGATCTTTGTTTCAAAGGGAGGTTGTAAGGGCCGAACATTCAATAACAAGCATTTGAGTTGTCAACGAGAACAGCATTCCACATTCTCCAAACTGCACATACGACTGGTTCCATCTATTTGTGAGCCAAAGGATTCTGAATCCATCGCGCCTCGGGCGTAACAACAGTGAAGCGTCAAAGTCTTGTACCTGCTGGACGTCTCCTTCGGTGAAGGGAAGCTTGGTGGACACGTGGAACATAATCTCCCTGCGCCTGAAGACCGTGTAGACGGATTCGGAGCCGGTCTGTCCGTGGGAGACATCCAGCCCGCCGCGAAACCTGTCACATTATCAAAGCGATTGCGTCACATTCCCTGCGAGGCCTCCGGCCTTCAGTGAAATGAAGGATTACATTTTGAGCATTAGAAATGCCAGTTCCATCACCTGTTCCTGTGCAGTTTGCTGTTAATGTCTCAGCTGCGTGACAATAAAGACGATGTACTGAGCTCTAATTACACGTCCACGTGGCACTTTCTCCTCTCAGATCTGTTTCGCGAAGCGGTTTATCGCAGTTGCACGCTGAGCCCAAACAGCAGGACAAATTGCTCCAAGGTTACAGCAGTGAAAGCCTTCTCTATTCACTATAACAAAGTGATTCTTTTCATCCGCCTTGACCTCTCTGGACTCTCCTCATTTGCATGATTTCAAAATCCCGCGCTCTATAATTTCCCTCAATTCAAATGCACTCGACTTGTTTCGTTACCCTTTGAAGTCCAGAAGTTCAATGTTGTCGCCCAGGATGCTGATGAACTCCTTAAAAGCTGGCGTCTCCTCGTTGTTCCCAAACAGCTCCTCCTCTGATGTCTGGGCTCGATAAATAGATATAAGAGACACAATCGGAGGATGAGATAGATCTAATGACGAGTTAGGGTTGAACCGGAGTTCACTGGCAAGGTCAACGCCACCGCTCACCTGTCCAAACTTCTGGTAGATGACTCCAAATTTGAAGGTGTTGTTCACCTCGTGTTCATCATAAGCAACCATCAGCTGGGACCCCTGTGTGCACACAAGAACAACAACAACAACCTCCTTGTTACCCATGGCGACTTCCAGCACCTCACTCTCTCCGGCGCGTCTCCGGGGCCGGGTTATTTATTTATTTTTTGCCCCGTGTTACGTAAGGCCCGACATGCGACAAACTGTCACGGCCCTCAGCGACGGGAGTGAACTCGCTGCGGCCCCATCGTGCAGACTGAGACACAGATGGTTTTCTTTTTTCCTTTCCTGAGGCGCTGAAAACACGCTCCGTCACAGCCCTCCGTCTGGCCCACAGGACGAGAAACAGATCCATCGCGTGTGCTCGAGGGAGTTGCCGCTTTTTAATAATGTAGTCGGCGAACAGGGCGGATGCCGGAGCGGTACGGAGCCCCTGACTGTAACATGGAACAAGCTCTGCGCTATTTCTTCCGGGTTACGAGGGTGTGCCGACGTGTGGGCACAGAGGCAGAATTGCTGTAGCATTAGCACGTCGTGCCGTGCTCCTCCCTTTTCACCCCGTAGGAGCAAGACAGAGGCCGGGGCGAGGTAACTAATGTCAGCGTGAATGAATAAATGTATAACAGGCTGGGTGAGCGCGGGTCAGACTGGATTTAATGAGGTTGCAGAGTGGGAGAAACTCACCCGAGGGTAGAGGACGGGGTTGAACTTCAGCCCCGTGGCATCGTCACACAGAAGCTGAGAGAAGGAAAAAGACGTGTGAAAAAAAAGTCTCATTACGAAGCATGGAAGGTATTCCAGTGCGTGCCGCACCAGATCCAACGTTTCCGTAGAAAAAAACATGAAACTCAATAAGTACCATAGACCAAATAAACAATCTGCACGTCCATGATCATCTCTGTTGGGTTGATTGAGACAAAGCAAAACTGGTTGTTTACTTTCATTTCTCTTTTGAACGTGAATAATCAAAAGTATGCTGCTTGAGGGTTTGAGTGATTCACTGTCACGGTGTGCGTTTGGAGACAGATCTCTCCTCACATCGGTACCTCCAAACAAGCCGGCTCTAGTTCCACCTCAAGGACACATTTTCGCCTCTTTTAAAACTCCATTTGCAACATTTACCGAGGTAGTTTTAGAAAAGTCAATCTAAAGTAAATCAAGCGTTGATGTGAAAGTATTCTACGATGATTGACGCTGCTGAAAACAACGTCCTTCTCCTTCAAGCTCTGCGTCGCGTGTATGTGCGGCCGCAAATGACCCTTTGTTTAAACCCGGTGTGCTTCTGAACTTACCTTGGCAATCTGCGGCACACTGGGCAGCTGGTTGATGCCGGCCAAAGAGATCCTGTCGTGGACGGTTTTGATCCTCGACCTGCGAGGGGACAAGAACAGAAGCCCAGCTGGTCCGATGATTACGGTCTTTATTCCAGGGAAGACGTTTCGGGACCTTTGCTGCTCCTTGTTTTTAAGCAATTGGGTGAAAGTAGTTCACGGTGAGTTCGGTCTCAAAGAAAAAAAAAAAAGATGCCCAATGTGGTGATAAAGGCAATAATATGGCCATATTGTTTACTTGTATCATCTGTCATCTGTCAAAGAGGAGATTAGCCACCATCTATCGTCACCACGGCCCACAATCGACAACACGCCGTTGCTTCATTGCTTTTCTTTTGATGAAAAAAAATGCCACCAACTGGGCCGACGGCAGCAGAGCGGTTTCCTTACGAAACCTCACGACCTCGGACCAAAGTGAAACACGGGACTGCACAAAAGAAAAGGGCCCCCCCCCCGGCTCATTGTACCTGAGCATGATGCGCAGGAACTCCTGTCCCTCGGCCTCCTCGTGTTTCAGGGACATGATGAGGTGGCCGATGCTGCTGCCGGTGCAGTAGTAGTTCATGTGCTCCTAGATGGAGGGGTGGAGAAAAGCAGTTGGTGTGAGGGACAAAGGGGGGGGGGGGGGGGGGGGGTTGGGGGAGTGAGGCGGCGCCGCTGACATTGACACTGACCGTGCCGAGGAAGTGTTTGCGGTAGGCGCGCGCCGTGCTGTTGCACTCCAGGCGGTAGTTGTGGCCCCCAGCGGGGCTCATGCCCTCCCCTCCGTCCTCCTCCTCGCAGAAGCTGGACTCTGAGGACGAGGGGGTCCCCACCGGTGCTTCCGCGTCTTCGATCCAGTAACCCCCGAACTGGGGCAGGATCACCTGAGGGTACGGGCCGCCTTTCTCCAGGACCTGCCCACGGGGGAACGGGAGGAAGGACACATGGTAATAGTTCCGGGGGCTTGTTAATCGTGCAGTTAAAAACAAAAGGTGCTTGTGCTTTGAATGCGTTAGCTATTGTCGTCTGCACATTAAAAGGGGTTTGAATGCCGTGTTGTGAGAGGGAGAAACCACTCACATCTTCTATCCGTGGGTAGGGGATGTAGTCATCCTGTCGAATAGAGGAGCAACATCGTTAACCAGTCTAAATTTAACCAAAGGTGAACTTCACTGACTTTCAACACAACGATGCAGCTACGAGCGCAGACACAGCAACAGAGAGGCAACACAACTTATTCTGCCAAATAGACTCAACAGCCTGAAACGCGCAGTCATCGGCCAACATCGACGAGGTCATGTGACCTCTTGGTGATGCCAGAGCTGCTTTGATTCAGTAGCCCCTGGGATGGAGGGGTTGGTGGGGGGGGGGGGGTCAAAGAGCCTGTGGTGGTTTGGCGGCGCGTATGAATGACCTCTAAAATGCTGCCGAGGCCCGTCTGCGGCGCCGAAGGAACAGCGCTACGGACAGCGGGCCGTTTTAATGCGGCAGCAGCAGGAGGCGGGGAACTGGCCGTCCAGAAAGGATCAATTAACAGTTGGAGGGCATTCAACTTATAATCAATCAGATCGGGAGGCTATTGATTCTGTACTTAAAAAGCCCTTAAAAATTTGGAAGTGCTCACAGAGAAGATGGGGAGGGGAGGGGGGGGGGGGGGGGGGGGGCTCGTAAGCTGACAGACGATGAGACGACGAAGACCACAGAGCAAATCATGATGAAGCAGGGCTGCAGACATGCAGAGACACAGTAACACAAACGGATCAGGAGTGCACAGGTGTGCGCTCACACCTTCCATCTTTTGGGCTCTTCAGCTTTGGGGACCTAATTAGTGTCCGTGCGCAGCATGAGGACGGAGAAGCAAAACAAAACAAACAAAAAAAAGGTTTGTTTATTGTGCATTTGGAAACCGCGGCGCAGCATCAGCACCTCGTTGCACCTCTGTTGCTCAGAAGACAACACAATGAGTCAGACTAATTCACTTTTCTGCACACGCACACACAGGAACAGCTAATACAGTCATCCGACCTCCCTGAACGTGGCTCCCACGTGCTAAGATTCCTTTTTGCCCATTTTACCTTTCTTTGTGGGACACTCAGAGAGGCGCGCTGTGCGTCCATATGTATTTATGAAGAGCCAATCGGTAAGACACACGGTAAATTGGCCAATTACGGCACAAAGGGCCCAGTGGAACGTCTCGTCTACATGACTGAGCGTCGAATTGTGGGGGATTCACAGTGTTGAAGATACGCACCACTGCTGCGGTGCCACCGATCATACCAAGAACTCGTTCAAAAGTACGGACTCATGGACACACACGCGCGCGCACACAGACACACACTTCTCAGTGGCGTGTGTGTCGGTGTGAGTGCATATTGATGGAGCAGCTGTTGGAGTCACGGGGGACTCGTTGTCAACAATACGAGACTGATCACAAAGACGCTCTGGGGAGGCTTTAATTTTCAGGCATAGGCAGAGACAAAAGAGGAAGGAGGAGGCCCGAGGTGGAGAAGAGGGGGAGGTTGCATGACGAAGAAGAGATGGCGATCAAAAAGGTGACCTTCACCAGCACCACCCGAGCTACGGGATTGATGCCCGCTTTGAGCGGCGAGTTCGAGGTGGCGGAGCTCAAAAAGCAGGTCGATGCGAGCCGAGTCTCAGAAGATGGATACGATGTGTGTGTGTGTGCGTGTGTGTGTATTTCATCATCGGGCTGCAGCGACGAACCGTTGCGTCTGTCGTTGCGTTTTCCAAAGAACTTCTGCATCTTTGTAAAAACTCGATTCGAAGCAGAAAGAAAACATGAAAACACCTGAATATCACAGCATTATGTTTCGTTAAACATCGTCTCTCCTTAAATAAGTGAGCGTGTTTGAGAAATGTGAATGTCGATTTTATACAGACGATGTCCTTATGTTATGTTCTCTTTACTACTTTAATAAACCACATCAGGCAAACTACAAGCGTACTGCTTGTTATTGTGACGAGTGAAATGTTTTTGCTCACCATTTTCATGTGCTGCGTTCACCAATTGATGCAAAAATGAAGTGATTCCTTTCAGTGATGGTCCCTTCGCAGCTGGATGCACAAGCTGAATAACGCAAAGGGTCATTCAATTCTCCAGGGACTGCCTGATACTACTGAATAATTCACACATTTTGGAGACCTCGCTTGCAAAATACAGATAATTCTTTCCCCAGACGAGACCCCTAAACAAGAACTTCTACTTCTCTTTGTATATCCTCTTTTGGCCACTCGTTTCCTTTTTTCTCGGCCTTTCATTTCCCCTCCTCCTCCTCCTCCCTCCTCCACCTTTTTATATCCATCTTTCAGACTTACGCAAAGCCTGCGACCGTATGTGCCGCAGAGGGAGAGCACAAAGGAGGGAGAAATGCTTTATAAAAAAATCAATGCGTTGAATGGATTCCACGTAGAGACGGAGAAGGTTGTTATGGCGGTCCACATCTTCCTCGCGCTGTTCTTCTCTGCCACCAGCATTCCCATTACCCCATCCCAGCAACGGACTGAGCCCAGCGGGCCGACCTACAACCCCGGAGACGGCAGTGTCTGCCGCGTCCTCGCACGGGTTAAATCTGTCTGTGCAAAGGAACAGAGACAACGTGTTCGTGTCCCCTTTCGAGCTTTACCGGGGACAAGAATGTCTCCGCAGCACCAAAGATGCTGCTCAACTGCACGTACGGCACTTTTGCACGAGAGAGGAACGGTGAGAAATAGAAGTGGTGGGGGGAAAAAATGTAGTAGGACATGAGGAAATAAACTAAATCCACGGGAAAGAATCGATGAGGGTCTCATACCTGCATCCTCTCCAGCATATCGAAGAAGTCTGCAGACTGAAACACAAGAAGACCACAAGACATTTAAAACACTGCAGACTGTCAGAGCACCAAACACACATTCAGTCAGTACAAGTTGTTGCCCTTTAGCCGACTCTAATTTACACCTCAAATAAGTCTTTTCGAAGTTTAAATCCACAGCAAACTGTGGATTCAAAGGTCCTGCATCTTTAGCGTCGGCGGGGTCTTCGCGCTCGCTCTCCCTCCGCGGTGCGAAGTTAGTCTTGTCATGTGGGGCGGGCGGGACGCACACCCACATGCACACACAGTGATAAGCAACCGCTTCCTTAGAAAGCAACAGGCACGCGCGCGCACACACACACACACGCACACACACGCACGCTCGACGCATCACAACGCACGGTGGCAGAGGGAGTTGTCCACATGCTTTGGGGCTTTTGTGCTCCCTTTTTTTCAGCACACGTGTACTGTTCAGGCTGTACACGTGTATGCGCACATGTGCACACACACACAATTTACAGAGCCAAATTAAACATCCTGTTAAAAGAAGAATACAAAAAAAACCTCCCTGGTAAAGAATCTACAGGAGCGGTTCTAAGCTTCTGCTTTAAATACAGACATCAGAATAACCAACTATAACCTTTAAGTGACAGTCAATAACACACACACACACACACACACACACACACACACTAACGGGCACTATCACACTTATAAAGGGCGGGCGCTGCAAACTCAGTGGTCTCATAAAATACAAAGAAGAACAACCAGGAGATAAATGCCTTACAAGAAGCTGTCGCTGCTTTACTAAGAAAGATAACCGCACACACACACACACACACACACACACACACACACACACACACACACACACACACACACACACACACACACACAGAGGCAGAGCTTGTCAGAGCAGTTATCATCACCTACTTAAAGGTCTTGTAAGACGATAAGATGCTGTGAACTTGACCTGACTGGACCAGAGAGCCCAACCACAAGTGAAAGGACCTCATAGGAGGGAGACATCAATGATCGCAGCCCCCCCCCCCCCCCCCCCCCCCCCGGCCCCCCGGCCCCCCTCCTCACCGCAGCCTGATCTTTTCTTTTCTTTGAATCAATCGAGAGGAGACCACGGCGGTTTTCAGAGAGGCCTTAATGCAGCTTGTCCTGGCACCGCGTCTCCCGCAGCGTCCACAGCGAGTTCAATCATCGTCCTCATCCTCCCGCAGTGACCAGACAAAAGACACCCATGTGTCCCGCCGTCAATCTAAAACTGGGTGTCCGGGTGTCTGTGATTTCCGTCCTCGCACTTTGTTCAGTCCCTTTTATCCCAGTGTCTCATTATGCTAATTCCCCCCCCCCCCCCCCCCACACACACACCTCACTCGCCGTCTTTCTATTCTGTCCTTTCTGTGATGCTGATGCCGCCACCTTTTCTGTCTCTGTCTCACTTTTCCTCCCTCTCTGTGATCTCCCTCCAGCGCAGCAGCCACATCTGCATTTCCCCATCTCCCATGGCAACCCGCCACGGCACATCACAGACAGGGAGGATGCTAGAATTCACACATAATCATGTGAAGACATGGACAATCATCGGCTCATCGCCGGCAATGAGGAGAAGTCACTCATGGCTCCGTGTCTCATCGGGACTAAAGGGATTTCACAGGATTTACCTCTAGCGAAGCACAGCTCGGGAAAAAAAAAAAAAGGAATTAAGTGAGAACGAGATCCTTTTGTGCCTTAAAAACTCTTTTGTCCGACGGGCGTGAAAACCACAGGTATCACGCTCGCATTCTCGCCGCTTGTTGTCTTCTGGCCGAGTGCGGTTCCCTTCTTGTTCAGAACACCTGCACCTGAGCCAACGGGGCCGCACATGCACGGACTCCCCTCTGCTGCGCACAACGCGACTCCTTCTGTGGGGTCAAACCGGGGTGACGGGCGGGCCGGCGGAAGGGCGAGCCCGAGCCGGCAGCATAGCTCTGCCGCTATCGGAGGCACAGCGAGAAAGAAAAAAAAAGCCCCCGTGGCATCTTTATAGCACAGCTCTGTCAGGCAGCTGGCCGGCGTCTGTCTGATCGCTCCACGCTGTTTGGTCCCGTCTCCAGGCTACCAAACGCTGTGGTGAAGCGCTTCACACGTGGGTGTGAATCTGCTGTAAACACGACATTAAACAGTAAAAGTTAAAAAGGGTGGAATTGTCCCCCCCCCCCCCCGTGCCGGCTTTTTCCAATGAATCCCGGTCAGGTTGTTTCTTTTAGTCAAAACGCAGACCTACCTTCACATTAGCTGCTAAACCATGTCAACCCTCTGGTGTCTCTTCCACACAGGCATTCACGTGTGTTTAACCTCTGTGAAGCCTGAACAGGAAAGTCAAGTCCCGAAGCAAACCGAGTGATATGCGAACACAGAACAAGTTATTCCAGTGTGGGTGTGTCAACCGAATACACACACGCATTAAATGACGTTTAATTGGGGTGTGAATAATGTAATCAACTACTGCATATGTTTACCGAGTATGCACGAAAGCCTTACAGAGAGCGAAGGAAAGATGGAATGTCCCCAGTAACACGCTGCAGTCTGTGTCCTGTCATATGGGAGTTCGTCTCTATGGCCACCGCGCTGGAAGCAGTAATGTCAATAAGGGCGCTGCGTAGCAACAACACAGCCGGTGCAATCAGGGGCGAATCATTCCGTATTTATGAGGAGTGCATTGTCCAGCTGATAAAAATGCAAGGAAATTAGAAAAGCCTATTTTTAAAATCCCGTTTTGGGTTGTAAATCAGTTAAAGCTATAAAACGTGTACTTACCAATCTGAGAACAAGGAGGGCAGTTTGTGAAAAAGCCTTTTTGGGTTGTAAGCTGCTTTTATTGGAATAAATATTTGGCAACACTGGCTTAAGTTTTTCACTAAGATGCTTTTAAAATACAGCTTATGTTTGCTCTAAAGTCTTTCTCCTCTCAGTCACAACGCAGCCAGCGCTGCATCATCTTTTGATGGATCCGATGTGGGATTTGATCACAGGAAATTGGAACCATTGTAACTTCTTTACCAGTGTGACTGATGATGAATATTTGACCGCACATCACATCACATCACACAGCTGAATTGTGGGTTGCGGATGAAGGATGAACTAAACTAGAGACAATTTCATGTCTTTGCCTTTGCAGTTATATTTCTCTCACATCTTTTCTTTTGCATATCAGGGTTTTATTCCTGTCTGGGACATTTTTAGATAATCAGTCTGACCATGAGCAAGGTTTGCCTTTCTCTTCCTCTCCTTCCTGTAATCTCCCCCTGTGTCGGCAGATTCAATAATGATGGCTTAGTTCAAGGTGACATCCTGCACAAAGTGTCTCTCTCCTGCAGAAGTCGTCATCTGTTCCGTGTAAATCACGCTGCTCATCTGTCGCCCTGCAAAACGCATCCTCTCTTCGATCACGCTCGAGAAAAATGCACGAGGATTCAGCTGCGTATAGTGCAGTGCAGTGCGAGAGATGAACAGAAATACACCTTGCAATCTGCTAGTAATACAAATAGAATGTCAGTAACACCTGAGAAAGATGATTCCTCCCAGTTTGATGGATTTAGTTTGTATTAATGTCTAGTTTAGTTTTGCTCTGATATCTTTTTCAATTTGCAGAGTCACAGCTTCGGCTAAAGTTTGAACCTTTTAGGTTGCTTACGCTGCAGTCTTGTCATTGTCTCAAACAGCTCTGCATACTAAAAGGATTTCACCGTGACGATGATCACAAAAGATGGATTTTGTAAAAAAAAGAATGCGTATGTCCCCACATTCACGTGTGTGTTTCCTACCTTCATGTTGGGCGGCGCAGTGCGGGGCGGCGAGGGGGGGCATTCTCCCAGAGGGACGTTGGAAATGTGCAGCAGCTCCTGTTTCCTGGAGGAGAGGAGGTCAAAGTGAGGAGTAAGCAGGATTTATGTTCACTGAAGTGTTCCGAAAGTTTACAAAAAGGTCACCGGTCCTCATTTCAATGTCAAATTAGACTTTAAAAGGTAATTTGGTTAGAGGGCAGGCTGAACTGTCCCTCCCTTTCATATTGCGGATGAAGGCCATCTCAGGCCATTATTCCCACTCTGATTGAATTTATTAGCTATTAGTCATAAGTTTTGTCAGAGAGAAACTCTAATCCTGTCGTAGCTCTTTACAACACACAAAAATAAGTGAGCCAGAGAGCCTGTGTCTGCGTCTCTGCTGTTTTTCATTTGCTCTCTGTGCTCTGAGTCCCGGCGGCCGTCAAGGAGACTTTAAGAGCAGTCATTTGGTGCACGAAGCCTCATCTGCCCCCTGTGCAGCAAACTCAGATGCAAGCGTGCACCTTAATGGTCCCAGATGTGAAAGGTTGACCCGTCACTCGGAGACCACAGAAGATGGGCTCAACCATTTGGATAAAACCGGGTGGTTTATCATTGCAAAATGTTCAGATGTGGTACTGGTTTACTTGTTGTGGTGATGGACACCTGTGCACGATCAACATCAAGAGGGTTTACCAAGAAAAGAAGAGGAACAACAGAACACAGGTGAACTAAACCTTCTCTGAACCTTTTCTTGGAGCTGCAGAAAACACTTGAGACCCTTTTTCTCCACCATCCTCAGGTTTTATTTCTTATAGCCCGAGTCCATTTGGCATGACAGATCCAATGCACACGTCCTCTCTAAAGTAAAAGTAAACCAGCCGTGGGGTTTCAATAAATGTGTCGTTAATGTGCCTCTTAATTCCTTTCATTAGCTGGAACCTTAATGGCTCGTTCCCCATCCTCTCAAGTAGCCTCGTCGAGTGGCAGAGGGACCGGAAAGGCTCACAAAAGAGGTAACACGAGCACCACCAGAGGTCTTCAGACCCATGGAAAAGGCAGACATTCACTGGCTCCCTCCACAGGTCGAGCTTTCACACAACCCACCCCCGCGTCCCCGTCCCCCCGTGAGCTCAACATATGCTTCGCCCGAGGTGGCGTGGACCGGTTTGAATGAGCATCTTGAGCCACGGCCCACTAGGAGGGTTCGCAAAAGACGAAAGGAACGGCGGCCGGCACTGCAGTAAGAACGCTGTGTCTCTTCCACTGCTGACGTGTGAAAAGGAAAAGCTCGTTAAGACCTCTGTCCTCGGGGGAGACCCCCTGCTTGGTGCCTCTACAGCTGTCCCCTAATCGAGGACTCAAGTCTCGCTCGCACAAACAGAAAGGTGCCGTTTGCAGAGGCAGTTTGCCTTCGTCCGCCAGAGACAGAGGGAAAGAGGAGAAGGGGAACTCACCCACCGGGACCGCAGGAATCAGAGAAACAATTTTGAAGGAACAGGTGGTGGAAGTGAGTCCGAACAAGGCGCTTTAAAGAGGGTCTTTTTATAGCTTCATGAAATGACAGCCCGGCATCTCGAGGAAATGTGTTTATTCAGCACCTCCAACACAAAATATTGACGGCTAACGTAGCAATGTATATTTTTTTTAAATAAGGGGGTGCTGGATTGTAGCTTCCTTGCATGTGTTCACACAGGTAAACAAAGATGGCGGCCACAAGGCCGACTAGAGATGGATGCGAGGCATGATAACACTAAAAGACCGTTTTTCAGCCCCGGGGCGATTCATTTCAACTCTGACTTAATGGATTATTTGCCCAGCTTTGATTAAACGTTTTTTTTTTTTTTAATCAGTTCTATTCCGTTGATACGCTCCATGTTTGCATTCTGGAAACGAGCGCTTGTCCTGTCAAATAAAATCACAAGGTCAAAATCGCATTCAAACCTCCGGCTCTGAAGCGAGCGATACCAGCAATATGTGGCAAGTGCATGCGGCCGCCACACCATTACAGCCAGAGAGTGGCTGCAGGGGGGCATGCAGCAGCTGTGCCGGTCCAAGGGACCCTTTTTTCTGGCTCGGCGCTGTGCCAAGAACAGGGAAGTCACCTCTAGAAAAAAAAATCATGATCTTTAGAGGATATTTGGCAAAACTGCAGCTGTCGGATGAGTTTCCCCCCCGATCGATTGAATTAAGTGCGCCGTAGCTCGAGCCTCCGTCACCTCCAGTTACGATTAAGTGGTTGTAAATCTGGGAGACAGAAATGGGGCAGATTGTGCTCCACATCTACGTCCAAACTGGTACAACATGTACCTTCCTCCCACATGTCTGTAATCACGCTCGCATTTTTCTGCAACTAATTATCGTTGATTCAACAGTAATTACATCTACACAGTCGCCGTGTTTATCTAATGATATCGGTAATGTGTGCGTTGTGTGTGTGTGCGTGCGCGTGGGTGAGCGGCATAGAGATGCGTCTGCGTTCTTTCGTGTATTGATCACACCCTGGAGATGAGATAAGAGCAGCGAGAGAGTGAGCGGAGGAGCATCGCCTCCACCCGTCCCCACATGACGGGCCGATCACAGGGAGATGGGGGAGATGAGGGGATAGAAACAGGGTGCTGTGAATCCTCTCCTCCGAGGGCCTCACTGCGCACTCCTGTGCCCGGTTGGGTCTGATTTGTTTGTCACGAAACCCGAGGAGGAGCCCGACTCTCATGCCAATTGGTCATTAGAACGTCTGATGGTTTCTCTAATGGAGTTAAATGCAGCGGTAATTGGAGACGGTGGATGACTGTTGTGTGGAGATGAAGGCTGGTAGGACCCGTCGATCCTGACGCATATTAAAGTGGACTGTTGATTTAAAAAAAAAAAAACATGTCCTCCGCGACGTTAAATATTTGACATGACAGTCGCAGCCCCGATAAGCACATTAAGGGGCCGACGCGACAGGATGCACGGAGGAAAGATGACGCCTGTCATTTACGTTAATTAAGTTACAGCATTTTAAAGAAGGTCCTGAAAGTTCGGTTTAGATTTGCAACCATGAACAAGAGAACTATTGCATGGATCGCCGTACAGTTTGACACAGACATTCATGCTCCTCTCGGGAGGAATTGTACCGACTCGGATGCTCCCTGAACTTTTGATCAATCGATTATGAGAATAATGACCATGATTTTGAAGCCTTTATGTTTAACTAAAGGGTTTAACTTGCTAGATGAAAACAACCATTTCCAGACCGGACATTGTATCTTTTACATTATAAAGTGCATTGCCTCTCTCAATGCTCTCAAGGCATTAACTCACTTAGTCCTCCCTCCTCCTCTCCACCAGCATATCCCTGTCACACAAGTCCACTCCACATTTAGAGGTAAGAAATGGATGCGTGTGTCAGTCAGCAGGGGAGCACCGTCATCCCAGATATGTGCAGATATGCACAGAGGTCAGAGGCGCAATAATTAGGAGGCAACTGCACCGCGAGTCACCGGCTGTTTCCTGCGGGAACGCCGGGCCTCGCCCCCCACACCCCCCTTCCCACTCGCTGATATATGAATAGATACGGAGGTGACAGGCAATAAGACTTTGCAGTTACACACTCCGGAACACTCATTATCACTAAGAGGGAGAGCGGAGCAGCGTGTCGGCTCCCCAATCGGCCCGGTCGATACAGTGCAGACATGAAGCTCCTCCCCGCTCTATTATTTCTGTGATTAATCCGAAGTGTCGGACTAAAACGACACCATTGAAGGTCTCGCCCTCTCCAGGCACACGGGGCCCCACCCAAGGAAACTATGTGTGTGTGTGTGTGTTATTTGGTTCCTTCCCAGGAAACAAGGTTAATTACAGTTTACAGTTTGTGTGCCTGGACGGCAATCTGGTGGTTCACTGTAACATAAGCCAATTTATTGGATCACAAACTGGCTAAATGACCAGCTTCTCCGAAACTCGCTGCGTCTCTGACACTGGATTTACATCCTTACGCAGGAAGAAAGCCTTCCAAGCTACTGAAAGGTCACATGCAGCTTTTCGCCTCACCTTTGAAATGTCAGTGTTGTTTTGTGCTTCTCTGCACAAATGCGGCCAAGAACCCTTTGATAGGCATTTACCTGCGCGCACTTCCCAACAACAGGGAGACGGATAAAGGCCACCGGCTGAGTAATGTTTGTCTCCGAAAGTTTGTGCTTCATGGAGGTAATCACACTCCTCAAGGGTGATAGTAGACCTTCTAGCACGAGTAGTTGCATCAACAGCTAGACTACTATTTAATCAACGAAATGTAGAAAAGGTACAGTTGAGGTGTCGAATACGTTCTCTTTTTAACCACTTACACCAAAGGTTTCCATGGGAAGATGCTACACTCTCTTTCATTGTTTGCCAATGCAAACAAACGTGTTGCTGATTGTAAGTGAGCGGACGAGCGCGTTATTCCATTATTAACCTTGGTAATGACCAAGCACATGAATATATTTGTGGCATTGGACAAACCAGCAGAGGATTCTTTGTCCTTTGGCACAGTACTGCATTGCAGCGCCAAACATAGTGCCCTGGCTTCACCGCTCTCCATCACATCACGGGATATGCCATAAATCCAACCTGATCCTATTCATCTTCTGGGATGGTTGCTTTTTTTTTATTTTTATCACTGCCCAATCTCGCTGTGTCTCCTTGGTTTGAGCCAAAGGAGAAAATCGGGTTAAGTGTCTCTCAGATGACATTGAATGCTTCTCTTCTCAACCATCTCCACCGCTGATAACATCGCGGGCAGAAAGGTCCGAGGGAAAAAGGGAAAGGGATGAAAAGACGGAGGGGGACAGGCGCACAACGAGTGAATGTCAGGCAGATTGTTTAAGGAGAGAAGGCAGCAGTGAAAGGTATAAAGATAGAGAATAAATGAATCTCGGCAGACTAAAAATAGCCCCCCTCAGCCCCCTGTGCGGAGCTGGGTAAATAGGGCCGTCTC